TCCCCGAGCTGGCAGGGAGGAAAAGAACCAAACCTGCCCCTGTTCGCCTCTGCAAAGACACCTGGACGGACCTGGACGACAAACTGGGACTGATAAATGCTGAGAGTGGGCAAATGCATCCATTGCTTAAAGTGCAGCCTCCAGAGCCCCTGTACAGACCTTGAGTGGCCCAAAGCTAAGGTCTGTGTCAGGGAGTGGGGAGCTCCTGCACCTAGCAGAGCCCAGGGCAGGATTTGGTGTCAGATGCCACTGCTCAAGGCACAGGTGGGAGCTGCAGCTCCGAAGAGCAGCCCAGGACAGCTCACTTGGCAGTGAAACTAAGTCCAAGCAGCAGGTGTTTCACACTGGTCAGGAGCAGGAGCCTGGGGTGTGCTGCCCACACTACCTGCTGCCCACACTGCCTGCCAGGTGCTAGCCAGCCCATGCAGTGACCAAAGCTGTCCTATCCACAAAAGCTCACAATTGACTGATTTTCCCCTCTCACAAGGCACACTGTGCCTAACCCAGGAGATAAGTAACACTGCCTCCCTTCCCTCCAGCAGCTGGAGAGGAGCCTTGTAAGTGACTACAAAAGCAGTGCCTGTCTGTGTGAAAATGAGTTTATCACTAACTTTTATCACTAAGTTATGCCAAAATGAAAACTTTCCCACTGGCTTTTTCCAAATGGTTGGAACTAATTGCTGGGACTAATGGAGCTGCTGAACTGATGTTGACGTTCACCAACAGCTCCCTTCAGTCTCCAGGTCTGCTCTCAGAAATTATCCCAATTAGCAATTATGCTTGATAAACAATATCAGTTGTTTATTTTCCAGGAAGCTGCCTGGGAGGCACAGGTCAGGCTGGGAGGACAAACCTAAACTGTGTGTCTCTCTCTCCCTGCAGACCTTTCCTTCATGTGCTGCAGCCTGGGAACCCACTCCCATGCCTCTGCTCCCACATGAACCCACTCCAGGCACACCAACACCAGCTGCCTCAGCAGCATCCCCACATTTCCCCCTGCAAGTTCATGTTTTCATCTGTCCTGGCACTGTCTCTGTGCCTGATGTATTTCAGAAAAATACTCCTGGTATGGTGGCCCTGAAGCCTGCTGGTTTTGGAAAGCAGCAGGGAATGGGCTTCCGATCAGTTCTCTGCTCAGGTTGCAGCAGTCACAGGGATGAGGGGCTGGGTTTGGGGTGGGACACTGGTTCTGGCTTTGTGGCTGGGCTGGGGGACCCACACTGGGCTCCTACCAGCTGTGCTGGAGACAGACAGGTGTAGAGCTGCTGCCTAAATTGGTGCACACTCACAAAAAAACAGCTGGGACAGCTCAGCACCTTGCAGACCTGCTCCTTTCAGGCTGCTGGGATCCTCCTGCTCAGCCACATCACTGAGCCACGTTCTTGATAAATCCAGTGCAACCTCTCTGACCTGGCGAGCCCTCACAGGGGCAACAGCTGGCACGAGGCTCCTGTGTGCCAGGTGCTCCAGGGCAGCTGCCTTCCATCCCAGTGCTTCCACAGCCTGGAATCCCCCGATGACCAGGACACCCTGTGCTGGGACACAGCGGCCGTGCCTCTGGGAGCGCAGGCTGGTTCCCAGGGGACTGCTCTCCTGCTTCCAAGGGACTGTCCAGGTGCCATCCTGAGCTGTACAGTTGCTGTATCACCATCTGGAGTCTTTTCCATACTTTTTCTTGCTCTCTTACTCCCACTCAAGCAAATTTGAGGTGCATGCCCCACTTCATCTTTAACCCTCCCAGTCTGGAGGGTTTCTTCTGCAATGGGTCTTGTGACATCGGCACCGCTCCAAAGTCCAGAATACGGAGCCCAGGATTTTCCTGCACGAATTAAACTGGAAGAAGCCACACTTAAAATAGCAATATACAGGGATATTCCCCCACTGGAGCTGCATCCCTGGCATCCCTGGTGTAAGCCAGCTGGGGGGTTCTGCCACCCCCATGGCCCCAGACGTGCCCCCACAGTCCAAGTGCCCAGGCAGATGCAGGAGAGCACCTTCAGCAGAGCAAAAGACCTCCTCCCCGAACAGCCTTGCACTAACAAATTAAAATATTGCAGCACAAACTTGTTCTTTTGATTTTTTTTTCCCACTTTATAGTATATATGTTATCGTTTATTTATAGGCAGATCACTTCACTATTTACAGTACATGAGCGTAGAGATTCTACAGTCTTTTTGATGTAAACAATTAACTCCACGGCAGGGGAGTCTGGAAAAAGAAGCCAGTTCTGAAGTATTTACACAATTTAAAATAGAACTTTTATACCCACTGGATAGATATAGAGAATACATTGAGCGATTTGGTTAAATTATCTATGAAACTATAGAATCTGACAATGTAAAAATACAAGAAAACGTTCTCTCATTTTAGAAGGTAGACAGTTAAATCACACTAGAAATAAATCTCTTTTTTTTAAAAATAATAACAATAATAATAAAGGAAAGGCATAAGAATCCATGCCATCTTTTAAGGTTAAAGTATATTACATAAATAAGGACACAACAGAAAGGAACTGGGGAAAAAATTAAGTGAAATATAAAAAAACCACTACCAATTGAAAAAAAACATACTAAAAACTTGATTCTTTATCACAGTGGGATCAATTCTGCTACTTTTACTTACTCTGCAAGTAGAAAATTGCAGTTAAGTAGTACTTACTCGGCAATGAGCAAGGGAAGCAGAATTGGCCCCCAATAATTATGAGCAGTGTCCTTTTACTTTAAAAAAAAGAAAAAAAAGAAAAAGACAGAATTTAGCCTTTTTTTCATAAATAACAAAGCAGATGTGCCCCTTTTTTGGTGAAATTCTTACACCTTTCTCAAGAAATGCATCAATTTAACTGTTCTCTCTGTTTCTCGCATGCATACACACACTCCCTCCCCGACTCTGTGTTGCAGCCAAGCTGCTGCTGTCCCTGACCCCAGGGAGGGTGAGGGAAGAGGAATGAAACCCCCAAGGCTGCATTTGGCTCTATATTGCTTGAGATTGTCGGGGATGGACTACAATGCTTAGAACAGAAAGGGTGTCGGGTTGAACACCGATGTATCTTAGGATTCAGCATACCACCAGGAAGAAGGAAAAAAAAATCAAAAAGAAAGGATAAAACTGTGTTGATCTGCAATTGCAATACTCCTTTGCATGGACCAGAGCTGAAATCAGACAGGACTGTAACATGGTGACTGAGCTGCTTCATTCAAGATGTGCAGCCCAGCCAGCTGCGCTGAGGAATCGGGATAAACATTTTCTTTGGGGCAGCATCAAACCTAAAACCTGGGATTGTCCTCTGCATTCAGCCCACACACTCAGAAACATTTGCTCCTTCCTGCGGAGCCTCAGGGACCCACTGGATTCCAGCCAGAAATCCAGTATCCCACCCTGAACAACAAGCTTTTCTGGGGCAAACCTGTGCAAAACAAGCAAAGGGGCATTTTATCACGAAACTCTTCACATTCAGCATTTCCCCACAGCGCCTGCAGGAAGTGACTGGGGGACATTCTATAATTACATATTTTTAAAAAAATAAATCTCCTCCTGACTTATTGCCTACCAAAGTAAACCCTTCTGCTCCCAGTTTCTCTTTGAAGCCGTATTCCTACCTGTCCCACAGCCCCCTTGAAGGGGCTGGGGTGTTAGGGTTCCCTTTTTAGGGTGTGCAGCTCCAAGCTGCACCCACCCTGGGGCACCCAAATCAATGCCACAGGCTGGGTGGGACATAAAGGCAATCCTTGGAGAGAGGGGGATCCCCACTCTCTGGCAGCTCCTGCAAAATTGTGTGCCCCTGGCTTGCCTGGTAGCACTGTCTGCCTCCCCCCACACAGTGCCCAGGCATTGCTTTGCTCCTGCCCCACTTCCCTGTCAGCATCCAGAACAGTCATAGGCTGCTAAGGGACGGAGCTCTCACCTGCCCCTGTGCCCAAGCTCACCTTCCTGCCCCTGTGCCCAAGCTCACCTTCCTGCCCCTGTGCAGACTTGAGCACTGTGAGTTAAAGACACCTTTATAGTAAAAAGAACCACCTCCCCCCAAAAAAAAAAAATCAAGTGGAAACTTACTTTTTACCACAAACCCTGGATGACGGACTCTAAACCCAGAAAAGCTGCTCTCTCCACTCTCACCCAATCCTAAAATTTGGAGGAAGCCACCAGGGCAGGCAGCACACGTCCCCAGGACAGGCAGCACACAGCCCATGGGGCTTCTAAGCATAGTGCATAAGATCTAGAAAAAATTTCTTGGGGAGGAGGGAAAACAAACCATCCCAATTTAATGATAAAAAAAAGTAAAAACCCAAAGGAAAAAAAAAAACAACCCCACTTATAGGCTTCAGGCACCTCGAAGACCACTTATTGCATCTCTTCCTACCCTGCGGCTGCAGTACTGATCAGCTCTGTGCAGGACCAGCCCTCCCCTTCCCAAGCACTGCTCTCAGGATCCAGCAGCTGGGCACAGGCAGGGGCTGTGGGCCAACCTGGGGTGCCCAGCTGCAGGAAAACAATCTGAAATTTTTTATCTGGATACACCAAAACCAATGCTTGGGAAGCAACTGAGTGATCCTCCAGGAGTGGGCTGGAGCCCCCCCAGCTCTGCACTAACCCTTCCCCTCCACCACGCTTGATGCATCCCCAGCGGGGCCCGGCCATAGGTGCCCCTGGCTGAGCGGGAGATGGAAGAATTCCACTTACTTAGCTATTTTGTTTTTGTTTTTTTTTTTTGTTTTGTTGGCTTTTTTTTTGGATTGATCGTTTTCTGAAAAACATCAGCACAGCACAGGACAGTACTACCCACCCTAAATGTGTCGCTATATACATTCTACATAAGCTCTATAGCAATCACATGTAAACATCATCATCGTGAGGAAATACTAGGACAGAAAAAGGCAAAGCTACAATGAGGCAATTGCCAATAGCAGATGCTCAGTCTCAGCCAGAGCTGCTCGTGTTCACTAAGGTGGGATGAGAAGTGGGGAGATTTTGTGGCAGAAGAGACACCAAACCTTGCTGTGAGGCTGAAATGGCACAAGGACTGTTCCCTGGCAGTGATAGTCACTGGTGGTGGATTGGGGACCCCGCGGTGGCCTCTGGGCCCTCACGCTGCCGGGCTGGTTGTTGTCAGAACCACGGCTTTCCCGAAAGAAATAGCCAGGGAACTGTGCTGGTGTCAGCGCTGCCGGCGTTCCTGCTCCCACCAGAGACCAGCTGCACTCACAGCCCCAGAGCCAGGGGCCATCCCGGCAGGGCTCAGGCTCTTGGCATCGCACCTTGTGCAATTTCGAAGGTTTTGGTTGTTCTCCCTGCAAGACGAAATATATCCACGCCAAGGAAATGAGAATAAAACCCCTAAGTCACGTCAAGGGGAGACCCCAGGAGATTCTAATCTATCTATTGGCATAGTTAAGGCTATAATATTCTATCTACATAGGATGGCTGAATCCCTAGTGGTCTTTGGGGAGGAAAAATAAAAGGAGACGATGGCAATGGCTTGAGGAGCAGCGAGATTCCCACTCCCTCAGGAAACAGTGCCTCTGGCCAGCTGATGGTGGGGTTTGCTCCAGCCAGAGGTGGGCTCTCTCCCCACCGCACCTCACCCAGAGGTGAAGGGCAAGTCCACAAGAAAATTTCATGCTTGAGCATTCCTTAAATCCAGTCCTGAAGGCCCCTGGCCAGAGGCAGAGCAGGCAAACGTGCCGTGGGGCACTGGTGGGCATGGGGATGGATCCTGGGTGCTGAGTGGCTGCTGGGAAGTGTATGGCTTATCAGGCAGTGGGCGGAGGGCGGGCAGGGTGCTGGGTGGGCAGACGCTCGGTGTGGATGCTGTGCCCCCTTCCGCCTCTCTGGATTTTGACCTGGCTGCCCAGTGGAGATCACAGATGGGTCACAGATGGGTCTTCTCACCCCACTTGCTTTGCAGGGGCTGGAAGTGAGTGCAGAGCAAACCGTTTGGCCCGGCCGGTCTCCCAGCCATCCGAGGGGCTGGAGAGAAGCCAGATCCCTCATACTGACCTGGAGATACCCATCCCTCAGGCTGTGCCAGCAGGACCCACTGGATTCAAGCCTGGCTGGCTCCAGCCCCCCCAACCCCTCTCTCCTGGCTCCAAAGGCAGCAGAGGGCTGGAGCAGTGCTGGTTGGAAGTAGTGCATCCTTCTTCCACCCCTCTCCTTCCCACCTGCAAAGCTGCCTGGCCCTGGCTCCATCGTGCACCAGGACCCAGCTCAGCATCTGGGTGCTGCTGCGGAGCTCGGGCCACGTGAGCAAGAAGAATGGCTTTGACAGCAAAGTGGATGACCCCAGCACAACCATCGAGCACCCCGGTTTCCCAGCGGGGCAGGCGGGTGAATGTCAGCTCCGGGACTCTGCTCTGACCCCCCATTTGCTGAGTGGCAAGTGCCTCATTACAGTGCATAGTTAAAAATCAAGGAAGCGGTACAATAAATCTGAATTACAGTACATCTGAGCCATAAATACATTTTTTTAAGTATATACTTTTTTTTTTTCTCTTCTTCTATTAAAAATTAGTTTATAATCCTGATTCTATTCACAATTAACAATTTCATCATCACACACTACAGACAAAAAAATGTTATGGTGAACACAGCTGCAACTCCACGGCGGGAGCACGGGGAGGGCCGGGAGGGGGAGAGGGGCCGGGGGGCTCCTAGGCTCACCCTAAAACAACCAGTCAGAAGCGGAGGGACTAACGTGTGGCAGTGAGACATCAACACCATGGGGACTCACAGACAGAAGCAGCTTTGTTCAATGTAAACATCGATCAGAAGGGACAGCAGTCTCTCTCTCGCGCGTGCGTGCTCTCGCTCTCTCTCGCTCTCTCGCTTTCCATAGACTGAATAATTTCTTTGAAAACGTAAACATATTGGAAGTGCCTTGACTGAGGTATTGAGGTATTCCTCCAAGGTTAAGGCTGTTACCGATGCAGGCTTAGCTGGGCCTCCTGCAACAAGCTGTCGAAATCCATGGTCTCGTACTTGCTTTTCACTGGAGCTGGGGAGGATTCCTCCGTGCCGCAATCTGGGAATGGCAGGGACAGAAAGCAGCCAGGTCAGGGAGTGGGGCACCAACGTGCTCGCTGCCTGGTTGGGAGGGAAACTGAGGCACAGCAGGACACTGCTCATTGCCCTGCTACCGCAGAGCCAGCCTGGATGCAGCAGTGATGGCAGAAGGGATTGGGATGGTGTTGTCTTTTCCCCATTGAAAAGAGCTGTGGGCAGAGGGGCTGCAGCAGGGCCCAGCTGGGCCTCGTTTTCCAGGTGTGCAAAAATCTGCCAGATGCAGCCAAATTTGCAGGTGCTGAAACAGGTTGCAGGGAGAGGGGTGTCTGCCTGCCCTGCTCCCAGGCCCCTGCCAGAAGCTGAACACACAGTGCCCCTGGAAAGCCTGGGGAATTCAGCACATGCCAGAAATAAGGCTGCCTAATTTAACAGCACCTTAACATTTTAAGAGCATATTTTTGAATGGCATGGTTGCATTTCACCTCTGCCTGTGGGGTCTGCATCTCATGTGTCCTGTACTAGGACAAGCAGGATTTTAGGAACAAGCCAAGCTGTGCAGGAAGGGGGTGACTGGTGGCTTTGCAGAAATCAGCAGGTGAGGAGCACTGAGGGGGCTTCTCCTAGGCTGAGGGGCAGCTCTGGCTTCCCTTCCTACAGCACTGCATAGTCAACACCTTCATCATGGGGTGCTGTCTGCTTCCTAGATTCTCTGTGCCCAAACTGAGAGGTTCTGGGATTTATTTAGATGAGTAACAGGCATTTGTACCCACAACTGAAGTCGGAGGGATGGGTGCTCTGAGCAGAGGAGATATCGCAATGTGATGAAAGATTGGTCAGTACTTGTGTCAGACTGGGTGTCTGGAGGTAAGACTTGGGGCTTTATTTTCTGGGCCTCAGCCTCTCACTCATGAAGTGGAATCCTAGAACCCTTCAGCCCCTACAGAGGGTACAGAAATTAACATGCAGTGTTGGTGAAACACCCGAAGACCACAGCAAGGAGTGCCGGGCGAAGCCTGGGACACATTTCTCTTGTAGGACTAGCACAGGGTTTGGCTCCTGCCCCTCAGCTCAGGCTGCAGCCCTATACCCCACAGAGGGACAGGGTCCAGTGAGAACCTGGGAGACATGGTCACTGAGTAAAGCAGTGGCTTTGGCCTTGCCAAAGCTCAGACAGCACTGAAAGGGGTAATGTGACCACAGCACATTTCAGTGCCATCAGTTTGACTCAAAAGTGCATGTGCAGTGTGGTGAGCAAACCACCCAGCTCACCTCTTGGGCTAATGAAATGCTGCTGACTGCCTTCTTTAACAACTGGGATGGGAGTTTTCTACTGGAAGGCCTCCAGGGCTGTGCAGAAATGCAGCAGAGATGGGCTGTGGTCAGCTGAGACCCAGCAGCCCTGGGGTGTGATGCTACCTTTTGCGGCCAACACACCCTGGGGCCTCATGCCAGTTGCTCTTCTCTCTCCCCAGTTTCCCAAGCCACCTGACTGAGCTAAGAACAGCTATGCGAGCCACAGGAAAGCCAGTGGGCTTTTCCTTCAGGCTGCAAACATGTCTGGGATCCTTGTGTGACCAGGGCTCAGCAGTGCTGTTACATTCTGTGCTGATAAGACTCCTGTTTTCTTACCCAAGTCAGCATATCTGGTCCAGAAGAAGCGCCCAAGGCCACCAGAGCTGAGCTGGAAGGAAGGCTCATTCCTCTTCCTTAGGGAGGGGCCATTCTTCAGAGATAAGGCGGCATGCTCTGAATACCGGTAGGTGATAAAGCCATATTTATCCCCCCTGAGCAACCAGAGAAAGAATTCAAGATGTGATGGGCCCCACAGCCCTTCTGACACAGTTCTGCCCAGCACCGTGCCCCTGTCCCTCCATCCTGCTGTCCCTCCATCCCAGCAGACCTCCCTGTGCCCTTGGATCTGTGGACACACCGCATCTCCTTGCCAAAAGCACCAAGACCATGGGCTCAGTTGACCAAGGAGGTTGGTCTGGCACCTCCTGGCAGTGCTGATGGGGCCTGGGGAGAGGGGCTGCCTGTAGCTGCTGGAGCCCTGGACCACAGCTCACTGCCCACCCACCTGTTAGTCCTGGACAGGACCTGACACTCCACGATTTCACCAAACACCTCGAAGCGTTTCTTCAGTTCGCTGGAGCTCATGCTGCTGGAGAGGTTTCTGATGTACACAACTCGGCCTTCCCCCTGGCAAAGCAAGAGAAAGGTTTCAAGCTCCAGGATCTCACACCTCTGTGCTGATGGGCACTAGAAATGTGGGGCTGTTGAGGAGCCCCTGTAAGCCAGCACTGGGATACACTGCTGAGGGCATGGCCTGACATCTCTAGCATCTGGTTGTTTCCACTCCAGATTCCTCATGGTGTCATCCCCAGGACACCCCTGCTGCAAGGGACAGCCATAGCCAGGCTGGAGCAGCCACACTCCCTTCTTCTAAAATTCCACTGCATTCTCGCAGCTCTTTCAGCTTCTGAAGACGTGAGAAATATTCCCAAGAATTGCTAGGGGCAAAATTCCATTGTATTGCAGGGAAAAATGCCAAAGCGGCATGTGTGTGTGTCTGTGTGTGTCTGTGTGTGAGTGCACTGTGTGTGTGCACGACAGTACGGAGCAGCACATTACTTTCTCACATCCCCACCCCTGTCCCAGCTCCCACCCGTGGGCACATGCTCGTTTCCTGGTGCACAAGGATGCAGCAGGGCCACATCTGTAATGGCTGAGCAGCTCCAGGGATTCCCCAGCTCACCCCCCAAACTGCCGATGCCAAGTGCGCTGAAGCACCAGCGTAGGATGCTCTGGGCATTTCTGTGCCAAGGACTCCATGTGTTGCCAATTGCTGGTGGCTTCCGCTCCAGGTTGGGTTTTTCTCTCCCTCCTCCACCCCCATGTCCTTGTTTAACATTGGCCTCGCACCAAAGGATGCTGAAGCCAGGGCTAATGGGCTCCACTGCTGCTTTTCTGGAGCGGGAGATGAACTGAGTGCTGGGGATTGCTTTGTCCCAGCATGGGATCCCCCCACTTACGATGGCCTTTTCCCGTCTCTTCTCCAGCTGGCCCCGGTGCCCGCTCCCGCCCTGACACTGCTCGCCGTTCTCACACCTGGGAAGCGAGGGAGAGGAGATCAGCCCGGGATGGGGGGAGCTGGTGGGGAAAGCTTCAAACATCAGTGATAAGCCGAGGCATGTGGTGGCTGCAGCAGCAGGTGGACACTCCAGAGCACAGGCAGCCAAGGAGAGATGAGGGTCTAGAAACACTGGAAATGACACTGGAAAGTTTTTTCTGATAGATGCCAGAGGGTGTCTCCAGCAGCCACTCACCCCTTCCCAGGCCGGGTTCAGGTCCCTGCCCATGCCCTGTCAGCCACAGAAGCCCTTAGCTGCTTCACCCCGCTGCTGCTTCCTCTGGCCATAACTGATGTTTGCAGCAGTGGCTGATGTAGAACCAATTATTTTTATAGCTTTTCTTTCATTAATTAACATCTTTACTACTTGGGCCAGCAGAGCAGAGAGGACTAGGGCTACCCTGCACCATGGAAAAACACAGCAGGCAAGAATGATCCCAAGGTCCCCGTGCCCCCGTACCTGAAGGTGCGTCTGCTGGCAGGTGATCGCGACCGGCAGCACGAAGACCCCGAGCTGGACCTGCTCCGGGAACAGTAATGCAAACTGGTCCTGGAGAGGGGGTTTCTCCGCAGGCACAGCTTGGTGTTGCCATGCTCCTCCTCCTCCTCCTCTTCCTCCTCATCCTCCTCCTCCACGGGGGAGCCACTCTCACTGCAGCTGTCTTCAAAGACGGTGTCGTACTCGGGGGTCTTGCAGAAGACCATGTCCTCGTCATCGAGAGCAGTGTCCAGGAAGCCAAAGTGCTTTGTTAAGCTGGCTCTGATCTCCTGGTCTCTCAGCTGCTTGACGCCATCCTTCCACAGCGTCTCGCCGCCTGCCTCCTTGCCGAGGTCCAGTCCCTGGTAGTGGGCAGCTGGGACCTTCCTCTTGTGCTCTGTCTCCACTTGGCTCGTGGGCTCCCACGACTTGAGCACCTTTCTCTGCAGGGCAGCCTCGGGTTTGAGCACCTGGCAGTAGTCATGGTCCCCGAAGGAGCGGGAGAAGGGCCTCTTGAGCAGGCCCTGCTGCTCGGGGAGCACGGGGCGTGTGGTGGCAGCTCGGCTCAGGTGGGCAAAGAGCTCCGTCCTCTCGGGGTGCTTCCTGGGGGCTTTCCGGGAGGCTGCCACATCCCCTGCACCCCCAGGGCTGGGGGCCATCCCGTCCTCCTTCCCTGGCTCCTGGGGGATGTCTGGCTTGTACAGGTCCTCCTCAGCAGGCTTGTATGGCGGAGTGGTGGGTGGTGTGAGACCTGGACCCCCCCAAACAAAGGGCAGGAGTCAGCTCTGCCCCTGCCATCCTGCCCTGTCCCACCCCAGTGCCTGGGCTGCACCAGGTATTGCAGGGGAGGAGACTGCTCAGCCCCACAGCCTCATCCATCCAGTGGCACTTGGGAAAGAAGAAGGATGTCTGATCCCAGCAGGGACCAGAGGACTCTCCCTTCCCTCCTGGCTCCTTCAGGGGACTTCTGAACAGCTCCCACCACCCCAAACACATCCCCCTGAAGTGATTGTAGTGCTCAGATGTGGAGGGGAGTCTCCCGTGTTCATAGTGTGAAGAGGATGAATGTGCTCCCTTGGCTGGGTAGGCTGGAGCTGATGACTCCAGACTGAATTTAGGGTAAATTTGTCCTCTCCAATGGAGGAATTTTGCAAAACCCAAAACTTAAAAGCCTGTCCTACCTGCTGTCCCACACAGCTCCACAGTCAGCATTGACTCAAAGTTTCTCTTCCCAAAGGCTGGGTCACTGGAGAAGAGCAGAAAATCAGGAGGGAGGAAGTGTTTAGGTGAACCACAGTCCCAAAACCCGAAAGGAAGCTGAGAAAATGCTGCCTACAAGTGAGCCCTCCCACTATGGCTAGTGCCTGACAGAGGGGTGTGAGGGCAGCAGGCTGAGCAGTGTACCCTTCCCGTCCCAGCGAGTGCTCTGGGGCACACACAGAAATGCCCTGCCCTCAGGATGAGGCTATCCTGGCTCCTTGCACCCTAGTGATGGCTGTGGCTCCCCACAGCCTTGTGCCCAGCTGGGTGGCTCAGTCTCCTCTGCAAAAGCAGCTTTGTGTGCTTGCAGCAGAGGCTTGGCCCAGCTACACAAACCAAAGTGGTTTCCAGCCCCAGCACAGTTCCTTCAACCCCATCTGCACTTACGTTTGTGCCAAGGACAGCGTGAGACATCTGGGTGTTTCTGAAAGGCAGGAGAGAAGCCGGTTACCAGTGGAGTTGTACTCCCTGCAGCGCCCAAGGTCTGGCAGGGGCTGGGCACTGGGGGCTTTGCCCCCCTGAGGGAGAGGGCTCACGCTGCCAGGGCTGAGCCATTCATGCTCATAATGAACCCCAGAGCCCAGGCACAGTGTGAGCCCGTGGGCAAGAGGGACCTGGAGGGATGAGGCAGCCTGGTCCCTGCTGGCTGAGCCCTACATCAGCTTCTCTCAATATAAGGATGGAGAAATGGGAGTAGAAGGCCCCCATGGATTGAAACAGCACCCCAAAATCAGAACAGGCCCCCAGCTCCCCATGCATGGGACCCCAAACCAGCCAGCACATGGGGCTGTACTTGGGGCTGCTCACAGCTTTACTGCCAGCTGAGTGTCCAGCACCTGGCCAGTATCGCCTGGCCACGGCAGGGATGGCACAGGCAGCATGGACGCACAAGGGAGGGCTGAGCAGAGTGACAGCCCACGGCCTCCTCACCTGTTTGCTCCAGGAGGGCACAGCGCCGGCTCTCAGCTCCGTTTCCCACCTCACCATCCACTGGGGAACCCAGGGAGAGGGGCTGGGGCTCCGCCGATGGTGCCGTGCCCCCCACCTCCACTTCAGCCGCAGGCTCTTCGGCAGAGAATCCCTCCAGCACTGGGCATGGTGCAGCCTCTCTGCAGGCCAGGGGCATGGAGGGCTCGGGGGGTGGCCCATCAAGGAAGGATAGCCAGTGCCCGAGCTCGGGGTTGAGTCTCTTGGACCGGCGGACGGCGTAAACAGTGTTGTCCTGCTTGCGGGCCACCTTCCCCATGGCTGTGCCTGAGGTCCCCTCTTGCTTCCCACCATTGTCCTCATGGCCACTCAGCTCCTGCAGTGCCTCTGCCTCAGCTCCAAGGCTCTGCCGTGGCTCACCCTTCTCTGGTGCTGTTTTCACTCTGGAGGTGCAAGTCCCACTGGCATCCTCCCCATCCCGGGCTGGCGGCACAGGGGAGCAGGAGCCGGGTGGCCGTGCCAGGGCAGCGTACACGGGCTTGCCCAGGCGGTATGGCTTGCTCACATCACACAGCAGGTCCCGCGCCAGCAGCTCCTTCAGGATGGAGAAGGATGCTCCGGGCTTCTTGCAGCCCCCTGCTGCCTGCCAGGCACAGCCCGGCCGGCTCTGGGCACTGCCAGGGGGGCCCGGCTGTGCGGGACAGTCCGGTTTGGCTCTCTTGAAGGGGCTGCTGCAGGGCTGGGGCTTGGCGTCGGCGGGGTCACGGGTGGGCAGCTTCCGCGGCGGCAGGCAGTAGGTGTGCATGTAGCGGATGAGCTCCACCACGGAGTGCATCTCCCCCTCACAGGACAACTGGCTGCCGGAGCCATCCTCTGCTGAGGAGAGGGGCGTCACCGAGTCACCAGAGCTCAGTGAGTCCTCGCTGGAGTCACTGTCGTCCTCGTGATGGGCACAGTCGCCCGGGGATGGGTGGTGGCCACCACTGGAGCACTCCTCGGGTGCCTGGGGGGCTTTGGTCTGGGAGCAGGGGGTGGTGGAGGTGAGGTGCCTGTGCAGTTCAGTGCAGCTGCGGCTCTGTGCCTGCGGGACACTCACCCTCCTGTCCCGGGGACCCTCCACCTTTGGAGAAGAGAGGAGAAAATCAGCCCCAAGCCCCACAACACAACCTGACACAAGTACCTGGCATGGGGGGAGAAGTGCTCCACACTGACAGAGCCAACCCACATCCTCAAACCCCCCAGTTCTGGCTTAGAAACACCCCAACCTGTCTGGAGGTCATCCCCCTGCCCTAAGCGCCGCACACAATGATGCTCCTTCTTTCAGGGAGGGATCTGCTGCTCTTCCCAGGCAATCTAATTTGCCAGGCCTAATGCACTGCACAATAACCATTAGAAAAGTAGAAAAATCTTTGGTGGCAACTTCTGCTGGGTTTCAGATCAGCTTAAGTGAGGGGTGGGCTCTGCAGCATGGCATGCAGCTCTCCTTGGTGATGGCCCCTGACTTGGGCTGAGAGTCAGCAGAGAGGGGGACAAGGGAGCACATGGGGCTTTCACAAATGGGCACCCAGGGAAGCTGGGAGAGGCTGAACCACCCGGGGTCCAAATGAGATCGAGGCATTTCTCAGCCCAACACAGAGAGGGATGGGAACGCCACATGTAGGAATAGGTATCCCCTTTTTGGAAGAATTTGTAATGGGAAGGTTAAAGCTTAATTAACTTGTTTTTTAAGGAGACCTTCTGCCTAAGAACAAACATTTTTTCAAGGATGGGGGAAGTGTTTCTTTCCCTCCTGTGTCCCTCCTGTGTCTCTCTGGTCTGAGGAGAGATAAATTCTCAGGATGTTACAGGCTGCGCCTGTCTTGAGGCTGGGAGAGGGAGGCCAGAGAAGATAAGAAACCTGGAAAAGATCCGGAGGAGTTACTTTCTCAGGCCCAGCGCTCTCACTGCTGGTGCAGAATTTTTCTTTGTAAGTTTTCAGTGTTTTTGCCTCCAAAATAAACATTTTTGAATCCTTTCCACTGCCTTGGCGTTTTTGGGGAAAATACCTGCAAATACCTTACTTTACACCACAGGTGATGGCCTCTGCCCGTCCCCAGCCCCTTGCCCAGCTCAGAGGCTGCCCATGCTCCCTGACACCATCCTTCAGTGCCTTTCTTAGCTCCCAAGAGGTGGGCAGTGCACGGGCTCGAGCTCTGCCCATGAGGAAGTACCTTCGTGCAGGGCCGTGCTGGTCGGGATTTTGGGGTCCCCGGGCGCCGGGCGGTCCCGTCCCGCTGAGCCTCACAGCTCTGAGGCACATGCGATGGAGAGAGGAGCAACTTCTTCAGCTGCAAAGAGAAGTGGCAAGAAAAAGAGTCGGCATGGCAGTGAGGGCAAGAGAAAGCGCCAGCAGGGCTGCAGCCCTTGGCTCACACGTGCCCAAAAATGGGGCAAGAAAAATCTAAGGCAGGGAGGAATTTCCCACCCCACCATGGCTGTGGGGGCAAGTGCCTGGCCATGTGCAGCCCTGAGGGGGTCAGGGCTGTCTCCACAGCACTCACCCATGTCCCCAGGGATCCTCAAGCAGGTCAGGGCAGTGCAGACATGAGAGACTTTACTTCCCAGGGGCAACCCCACTCCTGTCAGATACACAGGAGCTGCCGTGGCATCTAAACTTCTTACTCCAACAATTCTGCCCTTAGGTGACAGAGGCTTTGTGCTGATGTGAGTGACAGGTTTGGACAACTCACTTGTGCCCCCGTGCAAGGCTCATTTAGCCAAAACATCCAGAGAGGGCCTGGACTCATTAATGAGCTTTCAAGGCATTTTGCAGATGCAAACCCCTGTGGGACCTGTCAAGGATCTCCCCAAAGTCCATGGGTGGTGGGAGTGGGGTTTTCCCTGGGTCACCCACAGAGCCATCTCTTCTGATGGCAAGCTCAGCATAACATTTTTCTTCTACTCAAACCCAGTTTTGCTTAGGGGGAGGAAAAACACCGACCCCACACCCAGCAACAACATTTCATATTCCACCCATGTCGCGCTAACAACCGAAGGCGACAACAGCTCAACAGCAAGACGACTGCGTAGGCACTGGGGGACTGCACAGAGGAGACAGATCTGGGGCTCCCGTGCTGGTCGGTGGGCACAGAGCCCTGGGGGGGTACAGGGGTGATAGAAACAGGGGGTGCCCAGGTCAGGGTCTGCCAGGAAATGTCAACCGGGGCACCCACAGCTTTAGGTGTGCAGCTCCTGTTGGTGGAAGCAACCAGCACCCTTTCCCCCCCACCCCTGCAACGTATACATCCTATATATACACAGACATATCGTGTGTGATATATACCCCTGCGCAGGGGCGTGGGCGGTGGAAATGCACGCTGTCACCACTGGATGTCACTCCTCCCCTTTTGGGTTTTTGGGGAGACCCCGGGACTAGGCTGAGGGGTCCCTGGGGGGCCTGTGAGCCTCAGAAGGGAGCAGGCTGGGTACCATGTCCCAGAGGATATCCTCGGGATGGCAGTAAATGCTGCCAGTTAGTCCTGGGCAGGATGGGGAGCGGGGCTGGAGCCCCAGTATGGCAGAGAACCAAGAGGGATACTCCAGTCACCAAATCTATAGGGACTGCAGGCCACACAGACCCTGAGGGGTTTTGGTGGAAGGGACAGGGAGGGTCAAACCCTCCCACTGAAAGCTGAGGGCATAGGATGACACCTGGGCCAAGCTCCTGTGTCCCTCTTGCGAGAGCAGCAGGGAGCTCAGCCTGGGGCAGAGGTGGGTGGGAACAGCCACTGTCACCCATGGACACGGGGCTGGGATGAGCCAGAGAGACCCCCAGGCAGCCCCACATCTGCATGTCCGATTAAAAGCAAGTGTGGGTCCTGCCAAAGCAGCCCCCACCCTTTTGACACCCACCCCCACCCCGTTCATATACATATTTGTATACACACAGCTTGTTCCCGTGAGGATGGTGATGGAGGTGACAGCAATGATGCAGAACATGTATACGTATACAATACAAGTATATGCTTTGGTATTGACGGTTAAAGAGAGTTTTAAGCCTAGAATGAAAAAATTCAGACCTTTGCTTCCTATCATACCCATGCAGCCGGCTTATCAGGGGCTCATCCAAATCCACCTTAAACAGTAGGAAGTGGGTTCTTACTAGAGACAGCTCATCAAACTCGGGGGCCGGGGACGGCCCCCCCGTGACCGGGGCGGTGGGTTTGGGGGAGGGGGCAGGTGAGGTGTAGGCATGGTTGAGCGTGTCCCCCTCTTCCATAGTTCGGAAGGCAGCCAGGCCCATGTCATCTCCCTGTATATCATCCAATGTCTCCGTGAGGGCTGCCAGCAGTGCTTCGTTCTCGCTGTCTATTATCTGAAATGAGCAGGCAGAGAAGAGGGGGGGGGTTAGGCTGGGCAGAGGGTCTGTGAGATGCTGGGTGGGGGAAGAGGGACCAGCAGTGCAACAGCAGCTCTCACTGACCAGCTCCCACCTCCCAGTGACCCGGCGGGGCAACCTGTGAGAGCTCTTCCCCAGCACACCACCAGGATGGAATGAGGAGGAGAGACCCAACTGGAAAAGGAGCATCAATCTGTCCACCTGCACCCCTAACAGAAAATAATGAATCAGAGCATCTTCTCTCCCAACAGTTGTCTCCCCACCACCATCATGCAAGCAGCAGAAGATAAAAGATCTGTGATTAAAAGGCTCCTTGCCCAGATCCTCCTGACTCTGGGCTGCAAGTGCCCTAGCTGGGATGGGAGCCCAGGGAGGGGGCAGGCACAGCCCCCTGCCCTCCACGGGGCTGGGGAGGCCTGAGAGGTCACAGCTGGTTAATCTGCAGCTCTCCTGACAGGGAAGGCAGAGAAAATGTGAGGAGCTGGGAGCTCAGCCCAGGGTTGCCCAGTGGACAGCCCCCTGTGAGGGCACAGGGGAAACTCAGCCTGGGCTGCACTGCTGGCCAAACACCATAGCTTGTGACAACAACCAGTATGAGTTTTGTTTTCACTAAAAGCCCCCAAACTCAGGCACCTCTAGCTCAACAGGGATTCTAAGCCCTCACACTTAAAGCTGGCTGCACCCAGTGCTCTGCAAGGGACTGCGTCCACAGAGCACAGCCCTCAGAGCGACAGGCCTTGCATTACAGCTCCCCTGACCTATTCTTTGGGTGAACAGCATGATGTGGGGATGCTAATGGGAGATTTGTGAGTGTCTGTGGCTGCACTGGGCCAGTCAGGACCAGGGGCTGCTCCTGCCTCCTCCCTTCTTGCTGCCCTGACCCGACCTCTTGGGTCCCTCCCTCTTTCCATCTAGGCTTCAGCTTGGCTGATGCACCTCCAGCCTTCCCAGTGCCCTCCCAGCCCCACGAGTTCCCCTCCAATCTGGCAGTATACTGCAAAAGCCCAAGAGAGGACAGAGAAGCTGAGGAATGGCTGGAGTGAGTCAGGAGTTCCTTCTTTTTGGTCCTCCTCCATCACATTCTGAATGTAAACCATGTCCAACAAGAAGCAGGCTACCATCAGTGATAAAATTAGCACGAGGGTAAATTCAGGCTCGCAAGCAGGACTGTTGCCTGCACACACCCTCCTGTGTTTCTCTCATCTTGTTTGAAAATTAAATATCTTTTGTTCCCTGCCCTAACCTTGCTCTCAGTTACTAGAGCAGGCTCCAGGGAAAGGCAGCAGGATGCTCCATTTTTGGCTCCATTTCTTTTCCTCCTGTTACTGGCACGAGAGCACTGTGCATATAAGTTCAGTGGGATACATTTCATCATACTCCACTGCTCCTAATAGGCCTGTCTTTTGCATTTCTTTTCTGTTTATCTTTTCCCCAGGAAGTTCAGCGGAAAATATGCATCTCGTGATGAAGGTCCCTCAGCTGGACTGGACCATTTTCAAGCACAGCATCAGCACAGCATAAAAGCCACAGGGTTGTTATTACAGCCAGGTTAGAAAATATTGGGGCTTTTTGTTTTTTTTTCCCCTTGTTTAAATATAAATTCTGCTCCCTCCCAAAATGTAACCCAGAGTTGGTTACTAGTTGACACTAGTGGGTCACAACCTCCTTGTCGGAGGGGTAAGGGCCTGGGTGCTGCTCAGGAGGGCAGAGAAACTCCAGCCCCCAAGGACAGGCACATCCAGGGCATGGCATGAGCTTTGGGAAATGTGAGAAAGGCAAAGTGCCCAATCCCCAGGCAGCTTCTGCACCTCCCTGTCTCCAAACGTGCCTCTGCTGTGCTCACAGCTGTGCCCTGGCCTCACAGCTCCATGAGATGCTCAGCTCTTCTCCAAGGAGAGACAGGAACAGTGCTGAAGGTTATGGACCAGCCCTGCCTGTGCCCAGGAGCACCCTCTGTCCCAGCACCCCTTTGCACCGTGCAGTCCGTGCTGGCACATGGATCCATCTCAGCACAAAGCCAAGCACAGAAACCAGCCACCTCTGCCAAAAGGACCCGAGACCCAAACAGAGGGGGCTGCCAAAACTGGGAAGCCAGCATGGGTGGGGCTGCTTTCTGCTCCTGAGAAAGGAATAATCCTGCCCCACACCACAGCGCTGAGACCCCCGCACTGCCGCCCTAGCACATCCTGCCATTCCGGGAATCGAACGGGACGCACTGCACCCCGGCTGTAATTCCCTGTGAATAATACACCACAGGAGGGCTGGCTCAGCAGCCTCCTCTGCTCTTCCACCTCCTCATTAGCCTTACTCCGCTTGCCCCATTTAGAGCCGGTGCACAAATTAATGGAGCACTAATCAGCTGGGGAGGAGATATTAATAGTTGTGCGTGTTCCCTCCTCCCTCCCTCCTCCCTCTGCCTCCATCCTCGGGTGCCCTGTGCCAGGAGGATGGGGGTACCTGGAAGAGCTCGGAGTCATCAGTGCTGTACTGGCTGGAGTCTGTCTCCGAGTGCTCCCCACACCACTGCAGCTCGCTGAAGCAGCTGGCCGAGTCGAAGTCGCTGGCATCCAGCTGAGACAGATCGATCTCCGGGAAGTCGGAGTAGAGGTGCTCCTCGCCAGACACCTCATACTGCACAGAGAAGAGAAAGGGGGTGAGCCCACTGCTGTGCCAGGGGAACAGGAAGCAAGGGGCAGCAGCATCCACCTGCGGAGACGGACGGTGTCCTGGTGTGCTCCCACCTCCGCTCAGGCCCGTTTCTCAGACCCACTTTCCACATGGCTCCAGGAGCAATTTCATGGCAGTGTGGAGCATGGTGAGCACCTCTTCACTGCACACCTGCCAGATTGGTTTGCACAGCATGACACTGGCACTGCTGGTTACTGAGAACACCCCCACAACTTCCATCAAACCCCCTCTTGTGTCCAGCTGTGGCAGGAGTCAGAACAGCAGCATCTGCATTGGAAGAGCCTCATCTCCCACAGTGAGCAGACGCTCGGGGCAGAGCACAGCCACCCAAGCTGTGGCAAAGCAGCTGCTGGAGCTCTTAGGGGCCATTCCTGCCTTTGGTGCCACCTAAGGGTGACATCCAGGTTATCTAGCTGGAAGTCAAGGCAAGGGTCTTGCATGCACATGGGACAGCAACTCCTGTGAGTGGCCTCACACCTGGTTCCTACCCTGTTCCCATCCCTGCCACACGGCACTGAACCACTCAGGGACAGTCCCTCTGGGGAAGCAGCACCACCAGTGCAATCCAGACCCCGCTCCCTGCGTTGTACAGGATGAGAAAACGGCATGGAAATGAATGGATGTCCGGGTGCACACAGGGTGATGCAAGCTCTAGGAACCAAGCTAAAAATCTCTGTTCAACCACAGAAAGGAGCTGGCACCTGCCCTGCTTCAGCCTGGCTTCCAGCCACTGCCCTCCCACAAAACCCCACAGCTGCACCCAGCACCCCCGGAGTGAGGGCTGGCACTGGCACCCACTGCCTGTGCCGGCATTTGGACGGTGCCTGGTTTTGTGCCTATGTCCAGGTTCAACCACACAGGGGAAAGGTCTGGTGTGACTCCTCCCAGCGTTGGCTGCCCAGGCGGAGTTTTCTGGCAGTGAGGGAAGCAAGTTTATTTACAGAGCAAATGGATTTTGGAGCAGGCAAACATCTGAGCATGTGAGCGAGGCTGCATGGGCAGGGGAATGCGGGGGCTCCTCCTCCTGAAGCTCCCTGGAAGGGTCTCCTCCTTCACTAAACAGGAAGGAAAAGGGATTTCAAACACAGCTGGAGGAATGGAAAATACAGCTTTTCTCTCTTTTTTTTTTTTGGTCAAATTGGGATAATCTGGGATTATTGATTGTGTTCCCACAGGCTGAGAAGCCTGTCTACTGTGCTCCCCACTGTGTTTAGGGCACCCCAAAGGGCACTCCCATTCACACATTCATTCCCATTTTACATTTCTCACCTGCCTTCCGCCCCAACCAGTCTCAGGGGAGGTGGGAGACAGGGAAAGTACGGGCAAGGACAGGGGGGAGAGCATTTTCATGGCCCAATGGTGAGCCACTGCCATGTCACGGCAGCTGGGGCTGCTGATACTGCCCCAGCCCAAGCTCTGCAGGGGCCTGGGACCTGCCCCATGGTGGGGGACGCTCTTCCCAGCATCCTCCCTTCATCCTGCTGCTAGAGGGATGTGGATCAGGTAGATTACACAAGTGTGGTGCCACAAAGTATATCAGGCACCCCTGAGTGGCTCCAGGATCTGATACTCCTCACAGCCCCCTAAGGCTGGGGCTTTCCTAACCTGCCCTGCAAAAATCTTTGGTCCCTATTCTCATCCCTGCCAGCTTTGGGGGACACAGATGCGACCTTTCCCCTTGTTCTCCTTCCCTCTCTGCTCAGGTGCAGCCTGGACTGCTCTGGGATCAGATGTCCTTTGGCCTTTCAGATGTGTCTCTTACCTACTGTGGCCCGTCCCTGCCTTCCTCCCTCTGCTCTAGCGCCTGCTCCAAAAAAAGTCTTGCAACAACTTTGGCTCCCCCTTCTCCCCAAATCTTCCCATGGGAACACAGGCAAAGGCTTTTATTTTTAGAAAAGCCATACATACATATATATACGTGTGTCTCTGTGTGTGCGTGTGTGCGTTCAACTAAAAATAGCAGAGCAGTCAAATTCTCCTGCTCCTTTTGATATGCCACAAGGGAAAAGATCCTGGTGCTGAGATCACAAGGAGCAGCTGACACCAGTGCTCGGGATGTCTTTTGATCAACTCCACAGATGTGACATGTCCCCATTGGCAACAGGGCTGGGTAAAAATAAACTCCTGCAATCTAATGCTGCTGAGCTGCCCTCTCTGGGCACCACAGGGGCAGGATTGCCCCGACACTGCCACTCTGTGGATGCTCCCAGCTAGCACAGGTCAGGAATGCCTAAAAACTCAGTTTGGCCTGTGTTGAGCCCCCTCCTCAAAAAAAACCATGGGGAGAGCCTTTGCCTAGTGCGATCACCCGCACGAGCACATGGATGGGCACCCCAGCACATGGTCACAGCTCCAGCCAGCCCCCTCTGCTAGACAGTGCCATTTAACCCACCCAGCCACCAAGGACCTGAATCTCCAGAGGGAATATGTCACTCTGAGCTTGGAATCCATCACTCCAAGCACCGCCTGCCCAGCACAGAGCGCTGAGAATGAAGTCCCTCTGGGCTGGCCACAGGGGGTGGGGGAGGACCGAGCCCCTCACCCGGAGTCGGGGTGGCAGCGGCAGTGGGGAGGCTGCCTGCGGGCACAGGACCTCATCTGCTCTGACTTTCCCTTTTCCCACCCTTTGCATTTCCTGCTGCCTTGGGAGAGGAGTGAACTTTTGTTCTAATTTTACTCGGGAGTTTGTAGGAAGATCAGCCATGGGTTCTTGGTGTGCAGCCAGCAAACACCCATGGAGACATGCTCAAAAATTCGGAGGCATCCTCCAGCCCAGACACCTGGCCTGTGTGTGCTGCAGCAAGGCTGCGACCAGAAAGCTGCTGGCAGCTCACTGTGATGTGTCTGATGAATCCCTGCTCCGGGGAGGAGAGATGCCCTACACAGGTGCCCCCATGCCACACACCTCCATCCTTTGAGGGAGCAGGAGCCCAACCCTGGGCATCCTCTCTGGAAGCAATGTCGTGCTGGCAGTTGCACCTGGCAGCCAAAGCTGGAAGGTGAAGGACATTTGAGGAACAGCCTCCATTCAGAGACATCCTCCTCCGTTTCCTTAAAGTATGAACCAACTCCGACCTCAGCCCCAACTGAGATGCATTTGCAATTCTAGGACAGAGAGGCAGCTGATAGTTGCTCACATGTTGCACAGAGCTTCCCTCTGCAGAGGCTTTGCTTGACAGAGCAGCAACACTTTAATTTATCTGCTGCTGAGCTTGGATAGTCCTGCCTGTTGTGAGGGGTTTGTCACTCCAATTGTGGGAGAAGGGGTTCCCCAGGGACCCTCATGCAGAGGGTCTGTGCTCACTTTGCGCCCCTGCTGAGGCTGCTGGACCTGGCAGCAGCTACGCTGTGCATGCCCAGGACAACCAGGTGAGCAGGAGGGCTCCGTGCCACTACGGCTGTGCCACCCCACTGCCAGGCCCCCGTCCATGCCCACCACTGGCAGCAGTGAGAAAGCACAAGGGACATCTCCAAACTGTCAGACAAGGACATCCAGAGGTCACTCTGCCAACTCTCCTGTCCCCGGGAGCCTCAACTGCACCTAAATGCTCCCAGACAAAGCGCCAGTGGGGCCTCTCCCTGAGCACTGCGGGTGAGGAGGGGCTGGTTCCCCCCAGCCTGTGTTCCATCTTCTCCTGGAAACCCTGTGTGAGCAAATCAGTCTGAGAGTTTCTGGTGTATCCTTGGTCATCCCCGGGAGGGAATGGAAGAACTCCCAGCTGCTCTGACTCTCCGCCCCTTTGCAAAGCCCTCAGTTTTTGTCCTTCCCGGGGCAGTGGCAAGGCAAGGCAGGACAAGGAGCTGGCCTGGGGGTTAGCTCCATCTCCCTGCCTGACTCTGAGGGTGGTCAGTGTGGGCCACTGTCTCCAATGTCCCCAGCAGCTCTGGTACGTGGGCAGTCCCTGGCTGGAGGCACATCCCAGGATGCCCCATTGAGCACAGCTCAGTGCTGGCTCCTGACGCTGTGGGGACAGCAGGTGGGACATTTCCCTTTCAGTTCTTTCCCCTGTTTTGGAGCAGTGTTAATTCTGGTGTGGGAGCATGTGAGGTCTTATCGCTGCAGAGACATGAAGCTCCTCTCCAAGCCCAACTCTAATTCAAATATTGGATTAACGAGACAGGGAATGTTTTCCTCTTCTTCAGTGTCAACTTGGGCTGCTCAAACTAAATCCCCCAGTCAGAAGGACTGGGGAGGCTGGCTGGGGATGGGCTGCTGGCTCCCAGGAGCAGCCGTATCCTTGAGCCCACGGAGAGCAGGAACCACAGCCCTGCTGCCAGGCAAGCATGAGAGCTGCCAGGCAAGCATGAGAGCTCAGCTCATTGTCTGCTGTGCTTAACTGGCTCAGGGAGCTGAAGACAGGGCAGTGACCGTGACAAAGAGACTTGCAGGTCCTCTCCTCTGTCACACCCTGACAACAACACCAGTAGAAATTTCCCTTATCTGCAAAACCCTTGGGTCCAATCCCTTGAAGTTGTGGCCAAGTATTTTGGAGTGAGCTCTGAGCACACTGTGATGGCACACACACTGTGCTCATGCTTAATCAGGCTGCAAAAGTTTCAGCCTCTGAAGTCTGCCGGCGTGAAAGTGCTGCTGGACACGGGCAGCACCTTCGCGGGATCCTAATCCTGCCTAAGCCTGGGAGGGCAGCTCTGCATTGCTGCCTGCAGACACAGCCCCAGGATGCTTTGCAATTGCCTTGTCATTCACGTGCCACTTTGCTGTATGGAAAAAAAGGAAAGAAAGTGGCAGCTCCTTGGAGGGGCCAAAGGAACCAGCCAGAAACAGGCAGCCCACCTTCTCCTGAGGAGTGCAGCAGTGACTCAGCCGCGCACGGAGCCTCCTCCCTCCCCACAGCCAAGAGCCTACTCAAAGCATTAAGAGATAAATATACATCCACACGTGCTGGAGACAGAGCCCCAAATTAGCCAGTAGCGTTTAGGCT